AACCTACTCTTCAGTGAGACAGATCAGTCTTACCCATCCCGGTAAATGACATCAGCATCCATACATCGGCCTGGGCTAAAAACTGGGAGTCATTCTTGACACCTCCCTCTTCTCATATCGAAATCAGTCAACAAGTTTGTATGTCCCAAGACTCTCTCACATACCACTCTACTGCCATCAACCACGTGCTAAGCTATATACATTTTTAGCTTAGATCATTACATTAGCCTCTTAATTGGTCTTTTCACATCCATGCTTAACCCTTTTTAATCCTAACACAGTAATTGAAGCTGTTAACACAGTACCAGAAGCTGTTAAAAACATAAACTGGCTGCATTAACTTCTTTGCTTCAAAGATATTCCATTGACATGAAGATAAAGTCTAAAATCCTTAATGTGGCCTAAAAACAATATAGTTTTTATCACCTATATTTCACCAATGAGGGAACTGAGGCTTAGAGTCATTAAATAAGTTGCTCAAGATCTCAGAGCAGTGATTTAAGTGGCAGGGCTATGATTTTATACCAGTAAGATTTTTTTATGATGGAAAAATAGGAAAATACAAAGATTATATCTCCGTGGTTTATAAATTTATGGCTCTATATATTTGAATGGACAATTGACTAAAATTACCTTTAAGATGCTAATCGTACTCAGTGTTATTAGCTTTTCTTTTGAAATTTTGAAGACAAATATTCTTATAATGGGAAAACAGGTTAATATGAGACTTTTGCAAATGCACTTATAGGTGTACAAGTAAAAATTTTTCAACAGAAGTTTCATTTGGCGTGAATTTATTAATTCTCTTTTATTAACCAAGGAAAATAGAGTGTATAAAGGAAAATCCTGACAAACACATAACTGACATATTTTGAGACATATTTCTTTAGTAGTTTTCTATTGTTTTTTTAATTTTCAGAGTAGCCTGGAATGTTCCAGTTGAAGTATGTAACCACAGAGCCTTCCTCACACAGAGTTGTGAACTAAATAAAGTTTTTTCTTTGGTTTTCCTCCAAATCTCTCCTTTTGAATTCTCACAATCCTTCCTTCTCTAAGCACCAGTGTTGGTATAGTCCACTTTCATTGCCCTTAAACAGCCTAATGGCTTCCCACAGTGGCTCCTAACATGAATTGCCTTATATAATGTACCTATTCCAACCATCGCCTTGTATATCAAAACTTTCTAGGACTCTTTCCTTAAGGCCCGACTTTGCTTTCCATATGACAGCTAATTTTCATAAGCTATTGTATATTAATTTTAATGGAGAACTTATAGAGACAAAACCAGCAACAAGTATTTTTTTCAGTTTCCTGTGTGACCTCACTACCAAAATGATGACTTTAAACTTTACATTCTATTACTTGTTTTTAAAAATAGGTACATTAAATATGCTTTTTAAAACTCATTTGCCTTCTTCCACTGAGATTCTTATATTCTTATACATATGTCTTACCCCACTTCTCACATCTTATCCACGTCTAGCTATGGGTGCCCTAAGCTAAAATGACTAGCGGTCACTGGCAGACCAGAAAGGAGATAAGCAAGTCATAGGCAACATGAAGGGGCACATTTTAATAGATGTGCAGCAGAAAAGTGTGTTGTACTGTGATTACAATGATTCCTAAACATCCAGGTTCAAGGTTTATTATTTTCTTCCAAGTCCAATCCATTGTTAAGAAATCTAACAAACAGGACTCTTAATTATAACCTACCTAAATCAGATAATACCACCCACGCTTCAGAAGTGTTCTTTGAGCATGAGAAGGGTAAATAATTAGTAGCTAATGTTTCTTAGCTTTTACTATGTGGCATTAAATGAGATACTTTGTCTCATTTAATCCTCACACCAATTCATGAGAGTAGTTCTGTAATTATCTCCTTTTTAGAAATATCAAAATGGATGTTAAAAATTAATTTACCCAAGATTGCAGAGGTAATGGATCTAGAATTTGAATCCCATTAGGTCTGACTCTAAAGTTCATACTTTTATCTTCTGTACTTCTTTGTGGAGAATTTTTAATGTGTCAGAAAATGGGCTGAATCACCCAGTACATGATTCACCCATTCATTCATTCATGAATTATTCATTCATTCCTTCAGCAGTCCTTTTTGAACATTCACTTCATAGTCTTTGCCAGGTGCTGTGAAAATCCAAAGCTTAGCCAATTGGGAATCATTCCCTCAAGGATGTGTCTACCAGGGAAGATGTCATGTATAGAAATAACTGTAACATGAGGTATACAGTGATAAGAGCCATGAAGCAGATTCTCATTTTAAAAAACTATTGGAGTTCAGAAAAGGGAGAAGATTTTTCATCTGGAGGTGAAAAGGCTAAAAGAAGGTGGTATTTTATTTGAATCTTGATAGATAGAAAGGATTTAAACATGAGACAATGAGAAACCAGGGAGTCTTGTGGGTATTTTAGCCTGAGACAGTATATAGGAACAAAGACCCAGAGAGGGGAAAGTTAAATAAAATGTGTCATAGGAAGGAAGAAAAGAGAGAATTTCAGAAAATGGGGCCTAAAAGTAGACTATAGATACGTTACTTGTCCTTGTCACTGACCAGAACATACGCCGTTAGCCTCTTATGCATAGCCATTCTGTTCTCCTTTCTTCCATCTAGCATCTCTCCACACATGATGCTCAAGTTCCTATTTAACAAAAAGAAACTTTGTTATAGGTGGAGGGTAAAAGTTATTTCATTAAAAGATTAAGAATCATTTAATAGGAAAGAAGGTTAAGGAGAAATGTATTCATTCGGGAAGCTTTTATTAAGATACTATTATGTCCCAAAACCTATTAGATGACATGAGTATTTTTTAAATAACGTGCTGGTTTTTTCCTCAAGGATCTCAGTGTCAACTAAAGGAGACAAAGATGTAAATAAGGAATGCAAAGTATAATGAGTTCTACGATAGAGGAGTATATTAGATATAGAAGTAACATAAGAGAAACAGTGATCAGTTCTGGGGATGGTAATTAAGGGAATATTTCCAAAAGAAGAAACACATCTGATCCGTCTTTTTTTTTTTTTTTTTTTTTTAAGACAAATGGGGCACCCCCTTGCAGAATGGTAGAAATGTATATAAACATGATGTTACATTTAATTTAAAGTTTATTTTTTTATATTTTTGTT